CGGGGACGGGAACTGGGGAACGGGAATGGGGACCGGGACCGGAACCGGGAGTGCGAATCGGAACCGGGAACAGGAATCGGGATTGGGATCGGGAACCGTAACCGGGATCGGGATCTGGGATCGTGAACCGGGACCGGGATTGGAACCGGCAGTGGGAATCGGAACCGGGATCAGGAGTTGGGATCGGGAACCGGGCTTGGGAATGGGAACCGGGAGTGACAGCCGGGAACGGGACTGGGAATTGGGATCGGGAACGGGAGTGGGGACCGGGAACGGGAGTGGGAATTGGGATCGGGAACGGGACTGGGAATTGGGATCGGGAACGGGAGTGGGAATTGGGATCGGGAACGGGACTGGGAATTGGGATCGGGAACGGGACTGGGAATTGGGATCGGGAACGGGAGTGGGGACCGGGAACGGGAGTGGGAATTAGCAGGTGGGACCGAGAACCGGGAGTGGGAACGGGGACGGGAACCGGGAGTGACAGCTGGAAACGGGACTGGGAACCGGGAGTGACGGCCGGCACCGGGAACCGGGCACGGGGCCTGCGGGGGGGTCCCGGGGGGTCCCGGAGGCTTCGGGCAGGGCCGGGGCCGTGAGGGGGAGGGGACAGAGGGGACAGGGGCACCCAAGGGTGGCACAGGAGGGGACAGGGGCACCCAAGCGTGGCACTGGGAAGTGACAGGAGGGGACAGTGACACACCCAGGGGGCACCTGAGGATGGCACAGGAGGGGACAGGGGCACCCAAGGGTGGCACAGGTGACAGCCAGGGTGGCACAGGAGGGGACAGGGACACCCAAGGGTGGCACCGGGGTGGCACAGGGACACGGGGGTGGCACAGGAGGGGACAGGGGCACCCAAGGGTGGCACAGGAGGGGGCAGGGACACCCAAGGGTGGCACAGGTGACACCCAGGGTGGCACAGGAGGGGACAGGGGCACCCAAGGGTGGCACAGGTGACACCCAGGGTGGCACAGGAGGGGACAGGGGCACCCAAGGGTGGCACCGGGGTGGCACAGGGACACGGGGGTGGCACCGGAGGGGACAGGGGCACCCAAGGGTGGCACAGGTGCCAGCCGAGGCCGTTGTGTCCCCACAGCTCCAAGCCCAGCTGGGCTGACCAGGTGGAGGAGGAGGGAGGAGAGGATGGTGAGTGGCACCTGGCACACCTGTGACACCTGGCACACCTGTGGGGGTGGCACTGGCACACCTGTGACACCTGGCACACCTGTGGGGGTGGCACCTGGCACACCTGTGGCACCTGGCACACCTGTGGCACCTGGCACACCTGTGGGGGGTGGCACTGGCACACCTGTGACACCTGGCACACCTGTGGGGGGTGGCACTGGCACACCTGTGGCACCTGTCATACCTGGCACATCTGTGCCACCTGGCACACCTGTGGGGGGTGGCACTGGCACACCTGTGACACCTGGCACACCTGTGGGGCTGGCACCGGCACACCTGTGACACCTGGCACACCTGTGGGGGGTGGCACTGTCACACCTGTGACACCTGGCACACCTGTGGCACCGGTCACACCTGTGGTACCTGGCACACCTGTGGGGGGTGGCACCGGCACACCTGTGACATCTGGCACACCTGTGGGGCTGGCACCGGCACACCTGGCAGGGCACACCTGGCACGGATGCCACCTGGGACATCTCTGGGGGGTGGCACTCAAGGTATCTGTCACACCTGTGGTACCTGGCACACTTGTCACACCTGTGGCACCTGGCATGCCTGGCACACCTGTCATACCTGGCACACCTGTGGCACCTGGCACACCTGTCATACCTGTGGCACCTGGCACGTCTGTCAAACCTGGCACACCTGTCGGGGTGGCACCTGTGTCCTTGGGGACAAAGAGCTGTGCCAGGGGCTGGGGTGACTGGTCCAGGTGAGAGGGGTCACCTGTGCCCAGGTGAGCTCCCTGTGCCCGGGTGAGCCCAGGTGAGGTTACCTGTGCCCAGGTGAGCTCCCTGTGCCTGGGTGAGCCCAGGTGAGCTCCCTGTGCCCAGGTGAGCCCAGGTGAGTTACCTGTGCCCCAGGTGAGCCCAGGTGAGGTTACCTGTGCCCAGGTGAGGTTCCCCGTGCCTGGTGCCCACCTGAGCCCCCTTACCTGTCCAGACAAGGTTCCCTGTGCCCAGGTGAGGCCGTACCTGTGCCCAGGTGTGCCCGGGTGAGGTCACCGTGCCCGGTGCCCACCTGAGCCCCCTTACCTGTCCAGACAAGGTTCCCTGTGCCCAGGTGAGGCCATACCTGTGCCCAGGTGTGCCCAGGTGAGGTCACCGTGCCCGGTGCCCACCTGAGCCCCCTTACCTGTCCAGACAAGGTTCCCTGTGCCCAGGTGAGGCCGTACCTGTGCCCAGGTGTGCCCAGGTGAGGTCACCGTGCCCGGTGCCCACCTGAGCCCCCTTACCTGTCCAGACAAGGTGATCACCAGCGAGCTGCTGAAGGATCTGCCCCTGCCCGGGGTCCTGGGGGGCGCCTCCAGCGCCGAGGCCGAGCTGCTCAAGGGAGGTGAGAGGGCACCGCTGGCACAGCTGGCACACCTGGAGGGGAGGGACACACCTGGGGACACCTGGATGGGAGGGACACACCTCAGCACACACCTGGGCACACACCTGGATGGGAGGGACACACCTGGGCACACCTGGATGGGACGCACACACCTGGCACACCTGGAGGGGAGGGACACACCTGGCACACCTGGAGGGGAGGGACACACCTGGCACACCTGGAGGGGAGGGACACACCTGGGCACACACCTGGAGGGGAGGGACACACCTGGGCACACCTGGAGGGGAGGGACACACCTGGGCACACACATGGATGGGAGGGACGCACCTGAGCACACACCTGGGCACACCTGGAGGGGAGGGACACACCTGGGGACACACCTGGAGGGGAGGGACACACCTGGAGGGGAGGGATACACCTGGGCACACACCTGGATGGGAGGGACACACCTGGGGATACACCTGGATATACACCTGGATGGCAGGGACACACCTGGGGGCGCCTGGTGGGACCTGGGCACACCTGGGGATACACCTGGATGGGAGGGACACAACTGGATGGCAGGGACACACCTGGGCATACACCTGGGGGCGCCTGGTGGGAACTGGGCACACCTGGGCACACACCTGGGCACACCTGGATGGGAGGGACACACCTGGGGGCACCTGGGGAGCCCTGGGGGCACACCTGGGCTCACCTGGGCACACCTGTCCCCCCCAGGGCCCCTCCCGTCCCCCAAGGAGGTCGTCAACGGCAACATCAAAACCATCACCGAGTACCGCGAGGAGGAGGACGGGCGCAAGGTCAAGGTGGGCACGGGGGCACAGGTGGGCACAGGTGGGCACAGGTGGCACCTGAGCCACAAATGTGG